ATTAGCAATTATAATATCCCCAAAAGTTTTTCATAAGTGCATTTTCAAAATCAAAAACAATAACTAATTTAGAAAATTCTGTCATACGTGGCGCTTTGCACATTGCCTTGTTGCGGTGCAACCCCTGGTTTGGGAGCAGCTGGCTGCCTTTGAGCACCATGTCTTGGCGGAGCCAAATATTCAAACATAGACTGGTTATGCATAGCTAATGTTCGAGTGAGATCRGTGGGCATAGGATCAGTCCAGAAGTAATCRTGGTTAAGGGCAGAATCAGCATCCATACGTTGTGCAGGATCCAACGTCAACATCTTGTCAAGCAAGTCCAAAGCATGTTGATCTTTAACATATGTTCTAAGCCTTTCTTTAACTCGTCTCCTTTGCTGTTCTGGAAGAACCAACTTTTCATACAGCTCAAGCTTATCGACTCCTGGCCACACCTCTGGCGTAATAGATCCACACAAGTGGCATATCAAAGTCAGTTGGTTTTGTTCTGTGTTTCCTTGCATGATAGGTCGGCGAGTCCATAATTCTGCCATGATACAGCCTGCACCCCAAATATCAATCGGTGGTCCATAATTCCTTTCCCCAAGTAAAAGCTCTGGGGGTCGATACCATAACGTTACTACTCGGTTAGTGTACCTTTGCTTTTGTTCTTTGTTTATGTGAATTGCTCGTGCTAGTCCAAAGTCGGCAAGTTTCAAGATACCATTCTTGGTGATAAGAACATTYGCAGCTTTCATGTCTCTATGAAGTATCTTGTTGCTATGGATGAAGTACAGCGCATTGAGTAACATCTGACTGATCTTTTTCATCTCGGATAATGAGAACTTTACAGCAGGATTGTTTAATAGYCCAGCTAAATCATGCTCACAGAACTCAAACACCAAATAAATACTAGCTTTRTTGCGGTTGTAGGGTAAGGCTAAAGACAAAAAGAACAAAATTCCACATTAATATCATGCATCAGATCTGTTTTAGCATCAGTATTTCGGTTGTCAAACATGTCTGTGCTTATAACAGAGGGCACAATTGCTAAATTATGAGTAATGGAAAATCTCTATTAGAGTGCAAACAATATATCCGTGAAAAATACTATATTGTTCGAAATGGTGCTAGTTAAACAAAAAAAAACAATAGAATTAGCATAAAATAGTGTAAGTTAGTATTATTAATATTTCACGGATATATTGTTTGCACTTTATCAGCTCTTGTGCATAAATTATCAATTTTTTTGTGCCCTCAAATCAACAATTTATTTTATCTATTTTTTTTTTATAAAGAAATTAAGAATTGCAACTAATGTTTTCAAAGTTTTCGTATTGCCCTTGTTTCTTGAAAAATCTGGCAATTATGAAAGAAATTAAAAACATGGGTGATATTTTAACATTACACAAGCCAACAATAATGGGACCTTGGTTACACAGAAAAAAAATTGAATCGAGGTTGCAAGGTACTGTACAATTTTTTAAATTTAAAAGGACCTTACAGCCTCAAACATAGCATCTTGTCTTTCCAGGGTATTAATATATTATGAAAAACAGTCAATAGACCATTTTCGAGTTCCAAATTACTGCTGCGTTTCTTGATTACAGACTCATTTACACAGGGTTAGCCTCGATTTTGTTACACAGGCTAACCCTTTGTAAATGAGTTTGCAATCAAGGAACACAGCAGTAATTTGAAACTCAAAAATGATCTATTATAGATGTCTTTTAGATTTTATTTTTCACAACCATCATTCAAAAGTGTGATCACTCAATATTTTATGCTATTAATTGAATGCACCAAAAAAACTGACATTTTGAGGGCCGAGTTGCATTATGTTGATAGCTCAAGCAGAAAGACTGTGTCAACAGTCTAGAAATAATATGAGAGTTTGCAGTGCCCTAAGTTTGATCAGCCCAGAGTTTATAGTGTTTCAGGATTCAATCTGWGAGATAGCAGTTMCCTGATTTTGRTCAGMCCAGATGTTGTTACAAGGTTATRAGTTASCAGTGCCCTGACTTTGATTAGCCTTTGATGTAGTTTTATGGTTCMATCTGTGASTTAGCAGTKTTCTGACTTTGATCWGCCTAGAGTTTGTTTCAAGGTTYRACAAAAATGGGTTKKGTGTASTAAAGACTGAGATRTAGGATTTTGAAGTAGAGATGTTTTAGCCCTCAACTTTGGCCAGCCACAATCTTCAGTTAAGACTTTAGGCAAAATTTCTCCTAATATGGGCCAAACATCTGACCCAAACATCTGACCCAACCTCCCAGTAACTTTTGTGTAGGTTTGGCCATTAAATATCATTTTAGGACATATTTGGCAAATGTCAAATAAAAGTGTTTCTATAACATTGGTGGAAACACAAGGTTTTTTAGGGAAACATGACCATGAATTGCCATAGAAACATCTTGACTGACATTCATCAAAGGCTAGTTTGTCCAATGGCAAAATGTGCAATTCCATGTGTGTCTATTGAAAAAAGGAGTGAAATAACACACGACTAGCCCTGAGGCACAACTACTAGTTTCTCCACAAGGGTCTCTGGCTTCTACTATGTAGTGAAATTTTATTACATATTATTGAATTAATATTTTTGTATAGGAGATTGATGTCAAATAACTATGTAGTTTCTTTTATTTACTTTCGTTCAAGCAATATATAKAGCAGAAATATTAAACTATAGTAGGGATTATTTGGATAAAAAATTCCTGAAATTAGAAGAAAGAAGTTTGAAGAGGTCCATCTTTGCTCACCTTTGGTGCGGCAAATCTCTAACAAGTTGACCACGTTTTCGTGTTTAAGGAGCTGTAGGATCTTAATCTCCCTGAGAGCAGTGATTGGGAACTGAACAACGGTGCAAAAAACACCATTAATTCAGTAGAAAATAACCTTCATGTGGCACAAAAATATGCATGACAAACTACAAACGACAAACACGAACACAAGAATGATCAAATAAACTCTTTATATACCCCCTCTTTCTCGTTGTCCATAAGGACTTTCTTGAGGGCGACCACCTCTTTAGGATTTTTTCTGCTCCTGGCCTTGAAAACCTCGCTATAAGCGAAAACTTCGTTAGATTCTGAGAATTACTTCAAAAGGAAGCGAACAAAATGGCGGACAAACGCAACAATTACCCGAACGTTCCTTGGCCGATTTTGGCAAGTTTTTCGTATTTTGAGACTTCATGGCAGTACGGAAATTCATCTTTAGTATCTTTGCTCATGGGTATGAAGGATTTTCTAATGTTAAAGTGGGTTTTTGGCAAGAAAAGACAACCACGTTTTCCAACCACGTTGTCCTTCCTAAACCGGCAAAATGAAGGTCAAGGATAACAGAGGTCCCGGATGGTAGTTAGTTATTGCTCCCAGCATGCATCGCGAAACGAGTATCGTCACATACGAAGAAGAGCAGGGATTAAAAAGAAAATAGGAAAAAAAGAAAATAGGATAAGAATGGAATAAGCACATTTTTATGTCCGTCAAGTGTTGGATCAATCACGAACCTAACTATCGATCCAGAGAGTCATGTCTATAGCATTTGACACCAGATCTATTGATCTTTAGAGCCCGGAAATAAGTACGAAGACCCAGGTCCAAAGGACAGAAGAAAAAAACAACTTCCATAGAGGCGTAATGCCACTTTTATGACAATAAACTGTAAAACGAAATAAAGCAGATGCTTTTGCTGAGTTGCGTTGCGTTGCTTCCCAAATCAAAATCTATCAGCCCAGTCAGCTAACTATATTTTTTTCAGATTTTTTTCGTGCTAATACACTCGATAACACTACAGGGCCCACGTTAATGTTTGGAAAAGATCACGCAAATAAATAAATACAACTGCAATGATGCGCCGTGTCTGTGTCTGTCTGGAGTACAATGCTATACTGTTTTGTGTATCAAATAATAAATAAGTAAATAAATAATAAATAAATAGTGGGATTAACAGTGGAATCCACAGAGTTACTTCTTCCATTGGATTCCAATTGGTATTTACAAGTTGATTTTTACGGAGGGAGGAAAACCGGAGAACCCCGAAAACCCTCGAAGCACAGGAGAGAACCAACAAGTAAAAAGAAAACTATTAGAAAAACAGTTGTTAATCTCATTGAACTGATTATACAGATAAACAAATGTGTTTGAACACGTGTGTTATTGTGTAAGTTTGTAGTTCAATGGTGCGATGGACTTTGCCCAATCAGAAGTAGAGTGAGCATCCACACCTCCGACCACCCCTCCCCTMCTATTGTTATTTCCAAAGCATCGTGGGTATTTTTAGTATTCCATTTTACTTGAATCACCGAGTAGTAGTTTGTGTGCCTCTGGTAGTGTACAGTAGGAAGGTGTCCTTTTTTCATTTCAGAAGACTGAATTCGAGTTCGATCACCAATCATGATACTTAGTTGTGGGCTTATAGTCTTATCTGTGATCCTGGTTGGATTTTATATTCTATATAAAACATCCAGTGGCTTCAGATTCAAGGCCAAATATTTTACATACAACTGTGCAATGATTGTGCTTCCAATTTATGGGCTTTTTCTTGGGCTTCTTCGACCAAGAGACGTGAAYAATTTCCATAGATTTGCAATGTCCTTGTACAACATTTCAAGCAAGTTGTTTCACATATATGTAGAGTGTGAAGGAACTGAGCACTTGGACCGAGAGAAGATTAAGAGTAACTATGTCATTGTCTCGAATCATCAAAGTTCTGTGGACATGATGGCTGTGTTGAAGATTTGTCCTCCTAATACAACCTTTGTAGCTAAAAGAGAATTATTATTTGCACCGGTTTTTGGACCGGCTGCTTGGCTTTGCGGAGCTGTGTTCGTTCGACGAGGAGATCGTAAGAGTGCAATACACGCTATGGATGAAGCTGTCGAAAGAATCAAAACCCAAACGGTATTACCCGAATACGATTTAAGATTTCATTATCAATTTAACTGCAATTTAAAAACTAAGATAGCTTATTCTCTTCTTCTTTTTTTCGCATGGTATGTTTGTGTTGGTTGCATTAATAATAACACATTATAGGTCATTCAAGGGCACACATGTCATGCGAGCTATTTAGCTACAATAGGAATCACGAAAGTGTTACAAATTGAGCAATCTTAATTCTGCCTTTAATTTTTGCGTTGAATTTTTTCTTTTGTCATGTTAATGCCTTGCACTTGCATGTATACATACATTTAAAGTTAGATTTGTCTTTATGCAATCTCAACAACCTTTTAGATGTCTAGGTTTTGGCTGCTGTCAATCAAAAACTTGCTAGTCCGAATGTAGCTTTGTTGTTAGGATATATGCAGAATTAACAGAAAATGTTCTGTTTATTTTCTCGCATCATTGTCATAATTTTTTCCCACATTTACCCTGTTTATCATTTTTTATTTAACCGTTTATTCATCAATTGTATTCTTGCAGCTAAATAATTTATTTATCATCCTATTTGATCAATTCAAACTGTAGATGAATCTGTGGATTTTCCCWGAAGGTACAAGACGACAAGAAGGCACTTTACTTCCATTTAAGAAAGGTGCATTCCATGTTGCACAGCAAGCACAGGTAAGCATTTTTATCGGTTTTTGTTTTCTAGATGTGAAACYTTTTTTGTACAAAATTCATACTATTCAACAAAATTTAGCCAAAATTAGCCAAAAACTAGGTCAAGTTGGTATTGTGGGACTGTCTTAGGATAAGAATAGTCAGGATATTGGGTATATGTCCCATGAAACAGTCACTCAATGCACTGCAATGTCAATTCGACCCAGTTCTTTCCTTGACCTTTAAATGGCAAGAGGCGAAAATAAAATCTAAAGAAATCTTGACTCTTAAAAGCGACACATTCAGACCATGATGTAGTGTTTTTTGTTTGTTTGTTTGTTTTTGTTTTTTTGTATATAGCTTGTAGTATAGTTTGATATAGTGCAATGTGGTAATGGTGTTAATAACATACAATATGTGTGATCTGGTGTCTGCTTAATTTATTGCTGCAATTTGATTGTATGAATGGGGTAGAATGAGATGGGATAGAATGAGATGGGGATGAGATAGGTTGGGATAGGATGAGAGGATTATTATGATAAAATAGGGATAATTTGGACCAGATGGGTTGGGATAGGATAGGGGATGAGATTTTTTAAAAGTGATGAGGTGGCATGGAATAAACAGGGCTCAAAATGACTGCCATGTCCAGTTAAACCAGCCTTTGCCTTGCCGGTCATTTTGACCAGTAAGGTAGAGCCAGAAACAAGGTATGACCATGCTAAAGCTAATTTGACCGGTCATCTTGACCTGCCACTTACCAGCCATTGTTTTAAGCCCTGATAAGATGAATAGGATATGTTAGTATACATGGTTAATTGTAGTGTATGCAAGGTAATGTTAGGTAATGATTTCTATAACTCTTTCCAATAGATTCCAATKGTTCCCATTGTGATATCTGACTATTCTCCAGTCTTCAATAAAAAGAACAAGACATTTAAATCAGGTAAATTGAACAATAATTAAACAGTTTTTAAAAGGATGGGTACAGGAGTGGATCCAGGAATCTAAGGAAGGGGGAATGACAGTGTAGTTCCAGAAATTATCCACACCCCCAACCCCCATGGAGACTTTTTCAAAGAATCCACCACCCCCAGGAAATTCCAATTTTCTTCAATACAAACTCTGTAATTTTATTCTTTCTCTGACCCCCCATCCCTCAAAAAATCCAAATTCCTTGGTGGGGGGAGGGGAGAGGGGAGGGGTATGGACGATTTTCTCGAACTATACAAGTGTTCCTACAAAAAACTGTGTCAACATACATTTTTCAATGCATGCTGACAAGAGAAACCAAAATCAAACTTATGTGAATGGAGATTAGTTTACTTAATTAATTTCTAAAGATCACCACCTATGTACTTTTTATAGTATAAAGTGCCAAATAAAACAATTTTATATTGTATCGTACAATGACAAATAATGGTCTTCACCTTCATATATGAGCTCATCCTGAAGAAATTATTTCTTCATGGTGAGATTATACATGCATGGTTTAAAAAAGTTTTTATTCTTGATGCTAAACAAAAGCTATGTATAATGAAGGTCCATGTGAGTTTTAAAACCAGTTTGAACATTTTTAGGTACTCTCAAAGTAACAGTCCTACCACCAGTAAGYACTCAAGGTCTGACACCAGAGGATGTTGGTGATTTGACAGAAAAGGTGCGTCAGCAGATGCTTGAGGTATTCCATGAAGGATCAATTCCAAATAGCATTCAAAATGATAGTAAATTATTAAAAAGCAAATCTGAGTAAGTCTTGTAAATGTTTTGTTTTATAATATATCCAAAACGTTTTGATTAAAATTATTTTTGAAAATTTAATGTAGTAGAATAACAATTATTAATAGTATAAGATATTGAGTGATCAAAATTTTTATTTAGAGTGATTAACTTATTTGTTTTACAATATCATGTTTTATTGTTGGAAAATAATAAAAATAGARAGATCAATATCTTTATTTTAATAGGTTGGCCCATTCAATCATTTCAATATTATTTCAAAAAAGCTGATATCAATAGGGTCCCTAGATTGACAAAGTTATAGTGAGAATTTTATTGGCCTAATGACATGAACAGCAGATTGAATAGATGTGATTTTATAYGAGTTTTAGGAATAAGTGAAGGACAAGTTATTCTCCAAAACATTACCTATCTATTTATAGTTTTTATCATTTCATTACCACTACCAGAATGCTTTGCAAGTTTTCTTTCTTCTTTCAATTTTTTATATCTTGAGAATAGCAAGAAAGTTGGTTGTGATCAATAGATGATCCAAACTTTTTATAATTGCTCCATGAGAATAGACTCCTTGCATGTGATGCCTAAGCAGCTTAATTTGGAGGATAAAATAAAAGAATTTCAATCTCTTGAGAGTTGGAAACCTATTGTAATGTCCTCCAAATTGAGCTGCATTCCAACGAGCTGCAAGGAGACTATAACAATTTATTATCATTAGGCAACTGAAAAAAGTGTGCAAGGGATTCTAGTAGTTGTAGTACTTCTAATTTTCAAAAATTTTAAATAAACTTAGTATCCTGTCTATGTATTTAAGAATAAGATATATTTAAAATGATGTAACTGGTTATTGAAGTGGTTTTTGTTTTGAAGTTTGATGTCCCATTCACTGGCCAGCATTTCAACAACATTCAATCAAAGGACTTCAACAAAAAAAACAATATCTTTAGGGAGATTTTGGACTGGAATAAGATTTTACAGGATTAAATTCTTTAATACAGTCTATTATCTCTCTCAAGATATTCAACGATGGCTGAAATGCTAGTCAGTAAACAAGACATCAAGTTTCGCAGGTTGGACTTCAACAATAAACATTTGTAGTAAATATATATTTAATTGATTTTTTAAATGTCTTCTTCTTTTTTGCTTAAATAACAAAGCAACTCAAAATGTTTTCACAAAATTTTCTTTTAAAAAATYAAGTATCYATCCAAAGTTGTCTATTYCCTTTTTTTTGTTTTTGTTTTTGTTTTTTGTTTTTGTTTTTSTTTTGGAAAACTTTTATGRCATTTTTCTCTCCGGCTGAAACTCAAAAACATCAAATTGAGTGCCATCTTGGAAGTCTTCGTTTCATGTCAAATTAGTGGTTTTGGGGCTCATTCTCCAGTCTTCGAACAACTTTATCAATAAGCTTTGCTAGTGCATCCTTGGCCACGTGCTCCATGACGTGGGCTTTTGTGAAAACAATCTGGTCAACATTGATGAACTCAACAATATTTCTCTTCCTTATCTTCCTGGACAAGTCTTGCACATTCCTACACCATGATAGCAATTCATCAGAGAATGAGAATTCTTGTGAGTTTATGACTTGAACTTCGTTTAGGAATTCAATGCAACTGAAGGCAACCCTTGATAACTCTTTATCATTGAAGTCAAGTTGCGTCTTGGGAATCTGATGTTGTATAGTTTGGACAGCCTTTGAGAGAACACTTCCCTTTTCATGGTCAAGGTCATTTAGCTTCAGCATCATTGTACACAGCTGGATCAATAGGGAGTTTAGTTTCCCATTCTCTGTGGAAAATAGCATGAATTCAAGTATCACCGTGTTCCACCTGTTCGCTTTGCAAATGTCTTTGCARCCTTCGTAGAATAGAAAAGCCTTCATGCATTCCATAGTACAGCCCTTAACAGCCTCACTTTCGTGCATCAGGGAATTTTGTAAATACACAAATATGACTTTCAAATCTAATTCTGTTAAGTTATTGTTGGCACTCCTCGATTCCTCTCCCAGAATTTTTTCTTCAAAAAGAATACAAGTTTTTCCTCCTGCATTGAAATATGCTTTCCAAAACACAAGGCTCACCAATCGAAGGAGTGAGCTTTGAGTGTCGTTCAGGAGTTCAATCRGAGCATCTTTTTCAATAGTTAGCTGGACACTGTGAGCAATCCTAAGCTTGCTTTGAGAGAGGACTAGATTGGACACCAGCAACAAACAAGCAGCAAAAACGTTTACAAAATCAGCGTTAGAATTTCTTGGAGTTTGAGAACTTATTGATGTCATTGCTTTCTGGAGCCAGGAAATAAAATCCCTATTCGAGAACAGCACAGAAGCAACTCGAGGATGCTGGGAGTCCATGTTTACGCTGAGCGCCACGTTGAGGTAATTGATTGCCGCTACCGTGATAGAAGGAACTTTATTGGTTGGTTTTGTTAGGATGTCTATGACAAAGCAGAGGAGCTTTATCTCGACCTGTGAACCTGTTGCAGCTTGCAATGGCAAGAGAATTTTCAACATGGAAAGCAGGATTTGGTCTGGGAGAGGGGACGCTTGATTCCTGAGGAACAGCTTCTGGAGCTCTTCAGTTGTGACTTGAGTTATAAAACTTGGTTTCTCCTGCCGGCTGGCTTGCTGCAAAACCTTCTCGATAATATCCAGAGCTTTCTTAACAACGTGCGTATTCTCAYAAAATGCAAGACTTAGCAARCATCTGAGAGCAGTTTCGTCATCCTTTAGAGCATCCCACAACATGGCCTGGTGCTGTTCCTGCCCATCTTCATCATTTTCGCAAGATAATAACTTCTCAAGCGTCAAGCTTCCAAAGGCCTTACCAAGCGCTTCACGGCTAAAAACCCAAAGAATAAAACCAGGATCCCGACTCGAAAGTTTGAGGTATTCGTCTACTTGGAGCTTAAGAAGCGTTCCTTCTAARACATTTTCTGACTCTGTAAGATAGTTGAATTCTCTTGGTGATARTACAGCCTTTAGTTTGACTGTAATGCTTGCATACAAGAATACTAAATGTCTAAGCGTTATCATAGGAAGGAGACCAAGGTGTCTGTGCACGCAGATGTATTTATGAAGACCTCTTAGTAAGAGTTGCTCGGGTAGAATGGAATCCTTGTGAATGTAGGCAAAGTATAGCAACTCAATACAGAAACACTGGATCTTGAAAAGCATTTTGTCAGACATGCTCTTCGAGATTGGRTCGATTGAGGATTGTGACAAAAGTGTGAGGCATTCGTCTGGAGAAGCTGGAATGAACGCTGACTCTAGAATATCGGCCATTTGCTCTTTTTCRGTGGCATCAGTAAGGGACAACATCAGTTTTCTTTGGAACTGATGTATTGATTCCAAGAGTGGTCTCTGAGAACCTCCTTTGCAGAATTTCCCATTAATTTCAATYGAAACTCTTATAAATGAAGCTGTTGATAGTTTCTTTGCGAATAAACGAGCATGGGGATCATGTGGTGACGACAACTGCGAATTTATGAGCGAAAAGAAGACCTCAAACACCATAGGATTGGTAATTGCTTCAAAGTTCATCATTACAGCCACAATGCAGATCTCGTCGATGGCTCTCATGAGAAACTCGTTCACTTCCATTGTAGATCTCTCCCTGTTGCTTTGATTAGAATAAGTCGAGTCATCTGCTAGCAATGCTTCTTCAAGTGAGGGAGATTTTTCTCGATATTTGCTGACAAAAGTGATGGCTTTATGGATGACAGCGAGTGAAGAGCAAAGAAGTTCTTGAGCTGTGTCTGAAACCAAGGAAAACTGATTCTGAATTGCTTTATATACTGAAGGTTTTATTTGATTCTAGGTGYGCTCTTATTGTAGTGGGGAAACATCTTACAAAATCAGTACGGATGAGAATGGTGCAAATACTAAATACAATTCCGAAATGCGACTGGGTGCAGTAGTGTAATCTGAAATTGGTCGCATTTCTGAATTGTATTCTGATCTTG